CTTGATGACTAACTGATTGGGAAAAAAAATTAATTAGTAGCACAGGTACTGAGGAAAATTCAGTGATTGATTTGGATACATGTAATTAACCAGGCAAATCACAAAAATTTAGCTTTGGAAGGAATCTAAGAGATCTACCCACCTTCTTACTTTGCTAATAAAATTATGCATAGAGAAATTATATGTATTACCCAGATCACACAGCTGAGACTAGAATCCACTTTTACTGACATCTAGTCTGGAGTGCTTTCTACAATACACCACTAGCTATATTCCCCCTTATGCTCTATACTTTTTCACAAAATATGAATTTTAAATATTATTTAATTGCATCTGTGCTTGTTTTTGCATTTGGAGATTACCATTATTACTCTCAAATACATTGTCACAATAATAATAATAACAATAATAATTGACATTTACATAGAATTTTAAACTCTGCAAAGAGCTCTCCATGCACTATTTTATTTGAGCCTGATGACAACCTGATGAGCTCAGTGCTAACTAGCATTATTTTACCCATATTACTGAGAAGAAACTAAGGAATAGAGAAGAAGTGGTTTTCCCAAGGTCATATGGCTAGTAAATATCGGAGGTGTGATTGGATGCCAGCCCTTCCTGAATCCAGGCATAGCACATCATTGTATGGACAGATCCCTTATGTCCACAAATCCAATAGGATTTTCTGGCATCCCTTGTGTCTGTAAATATCAGATGGAGGTTAGCCTTCCCATGATTGATAATTTAGAAAGATGCAGTCCCAATTATGTCTGTTTGTATTTTTTTTCTTTTGTCTAGTAGCATACCTTTAAGAAATCATTTTCTATGATTATTTTTTGACCAGTGAAGTGTTTCATTTCCCAGAAAGCAGACAACTTGTTATTGAATCTGTGCTAATTGGACTTCTTCTCAATAGACAGATTTTCTTCCATACATCGATAGCACAAGTCACCAGAAGGTAGCCAAATAGTTTGAACGACAAATATTTTTGTCCTAGATAAACAAACCATGGTTGCAGAACAACTGAGGATTGAACAATACCTACTATTTTAGTAAGGGACCTGAAAACATCTCTATTCCAATTAAAAATCTAAGAAAAAGAAAAGCAGGCAAAACAGTAATAACCATGTACAGCTCAGAGCCACAGAAGTCCTTTTGTAATTTGTCTGGGGTTGTCCAGCTTCCTTAGAAATATGTATCTGCACTTGAATGCTGATTTCATCTTTCATATGGTTTCAACTCCACCCATGTCCTGATAGGGTATAAAGTCATCAGGCAACCAATTAGTGATACTTTTTTGATTCTTTACTACCCCTCACTCTTCTCAGTTGTTACTGACTTCCCCTCCGGGACCCCTTGTATATCTATATATATATATATATATATATATATATATATATATATATATTATATATGTATATATATATATATACATATATATACACATATATATACATATAAAGTCTTTTATGTTTATAATCAATTCTGCACATTAATTCTAAAGCTCTCATCTATTTGCAATGCCCTTTTAACCTCTTTCTGATCCCTTTTGTACATTTTCTTTAAATGTTTCATTGACCAACTTTTATTTTCTTCCTTTTTTCTGTATAGCTATCATAAGCTTCTTTATCCCCACCATTCTCCTTCTCTGGTTTTCCAAAAATGACCTTACAGTATAACAAATTAGCATAATAAAGCAAAACAAATCCATACACTAACTACGTACAAAATCACATCTCATTCTCCTCTTCTAGCCCATCACTTCTCTGTCAAGAGGTGGTTGGCACACTGTATTAGCAGCCTTCTAGAGTTGTGGTGGGCATCTCAGTGGTACAGTGGAAAGAGTGCTGGCTGGGTCTAGAGTTCAAATCTGGCCTTAGGCACTTAGCTGTGTGGCCCCGGGCAAGTCACTTAACCTTTTTTGCCTCAGTTTCCTTATCTGAACAATGATCTGGAGAAGGAAACAGCAAGTATCCAGTATCTTTGCCAAGAAAATCCCAAATGAGGTCACAAAGAGTCAGACAAGACTGAAAAAAGACTTAACAACAAAAGAATTATGGTTGGTCATTGCACTGAGCAGTGTTTATCTTGTTCAAAGTATGTTTTTTTAATTCAATGTTGTAGACATTGTATGAATTATTCTTGTTTTGCTCATTTCAAACTGAATCATTTTATTCATCTTTCCAAGTTTCTCTAAATTTGTCCTTTTCATCATTCCTAATAATACAATGATATTCCATTACATTTATGTACCATAAATTGTTCAGCCATTTCCCAATTGATGGACACTTCCTTTGTAGCTAGTCCTTTGCTACAATAAAAAGACAAAAAAACAGTGCTGCTATGGGTCTCTTCCCTCTTTCTTTAATTGGGTTGGGTTATATGCCTAGGAAGTGTTATTGCTGGATCAATGAGCATACACCATTGTAAATCATTAGTTTCTTTTTGGATACAGTTATGGGTTGTTTTCCTGAATGCTTCACTCAATCAATAGTTCAATTAAAAGTGCATTCGTGCGTCATTCTATGTTCTCTCCAATAATTTTCATTTCCCTTTTTTCTCATCTTTGCAAATCTGAAGGATATTGTGGAAACTTCAGGGTTGTTTTGATTCAGATTTATATTATTAGTAATTTAAGGCATTTTTAATATGCTTACTAGTCAGCTTACTTTAATCTTTTGAGAATTATCTATTCATATCCTTCCATTGATCTGATAGGGCATGGCTCTTGTTCTTATATATTTGAATCATATAAATGTATATGTATGAATGCATAAACCTATAGATAGGTATGCATATATATTTTTTCATGTACAGGTACATGTATACATACATATGTGTATATATATTTATATTTCTTGAATGTGAGGTCTTTATCAGAGAAATTTAGTGAATTTAGTAACACTTTTACTTCTGTCATAGGAAATTAATTTTGACCTCCCCCTCCAAAAAAATTACAAATTATCCATAGTTAGGCAAAGAAAGAGCAGCAGTATCATAGGGGAGAAATAATAAATGCTACTATCTAAAATCTCTACAACGGAAAAAAAAAGAAGAGAAATCAAATCTCTCCAACTCAATATTCAATTAAAACAGGACTGTCCATGTATTTTCTCATCTAGACATAATTTGAATTTCAACTTTTTTTTCATTATTTTAGAGCTGATAACAATTCATATTTTAGGAAAACCATATCATTTTCCTTTTAAATCCATGAGCAAATTCTATTAAGTTTCATTAAATTTTCAAAGGTCAATATGTTGTTAATTATTTATCTTACTATTCGACAGTGGTGAACAAATATACCACAATTTTTCCATCTTTAAATAATATTTTCATATTTACCTACTATGCAATGTTTGAGTAAAAAAGCTCAATGAATATATAGTTTTAAATAGCTCTCCTTAAAATAAATTAAAGAATTATTCTCAACGAATAGAGTTTTCTGATCTCAAAAAAGATATCTTTACTTAGTTTTAGTGGAAAAAAAGACATGGAAATAATAATATCACATCCAGAATCCACAGTATGCTAGATGGCAAAATGACAAGCACACCAACTCATAACTTTTTTCATATTTAGCAAACTTTTCAATTAGGACTTCTTCCTGGCTATTTAAATATGTTTAAAGTAATGGTTTTCTGTAATTTGTCTTTTTCCTTTGGAAACATACCGTGCTATTGTCAGTTTTAAAAAAGAAGCAATTTTCTGACTTTTCAGATTGAGTAGGTCAAGGAAAAATTACTACTGCTGAAAACCTATAATTAAATAGAAAATGCAGCTGCACTTATGAGAAACTAAAATTAAGTTTAGTCTATTAATACTTGATTCTGAAATGGCATTTGGATTTTCAGGCAAGGTTTCATTTCTAGCCATACCTCACATATACTGGGTCTTTATGTGTCTACTTTTAATAAGTAACATGACAGAATAAAAGAAGAATATAATTTGGGGGTGCTATTTCTAATTGTTTGCTTTAAAATCCTTCAAAATACATTATGGTAGAATTCTTTAAAAATTAAATAATCTTTTAAAACATTTCTCCCTTTTGAAAAAAGTTAAGAATATATATTTAAATGTGAATATGCCCCCCTCAAAATTTAATGAAGTGTTGACAAAAAATATATAGACAGTAACCGTAATGTTTACTTAGTAGAAATCCAGAACTACTTCTAAAAAACACAATCATTTAAGTTTTCTATTTGAATTAATATTGATTCTGTATATTCCCCTTAAATATGAAGTCTGCATCTCTTTCTCTCTCTCTCTCTCTCTCTCTCTCTCTCTCTCTCTCTCTCTCTCTCTCTCTCTCTTTTGGTCTTGCTATACAATACAAAAGTGGTTTGCCAAGAGTAAAACACAATTGTTTGAATTTCTGTGATTATAGGATCAGTTTTCTGAACACAGATCCGGTCTGAATTATCTGAAGGAAATTTCCTGGTCTCTCAATCAGGTTACAGTTAAAGAGTTAAAATATTTTGTATAAACATGAATGCAACAAATAAATACAGCCATTTAGAACAATTTGAGAAGTCATAATATTTATCACTGTTTAATTTTAATAGTGCATTTTCACAAATGAAGATAAACACCCTTTAACCTCTCTTACAAAACTCTTGGATTGAAATCTGAATAACATTTACATAAAATTAGGTATAATGTGAAAGCCTTCTTCAGGCAAATATATGAGCACTGAAAATTTATTTTTTTGCTTTGAAATAGTAATAATCTTTGTGTTAGAAACTGAATCTGGGTAAAAGGGTCTCAGGAGATCCTTAAATGTTTTTGTTTTTATTCTCTACATCTTCAAAAATGAAGGCTCTAATTTTCTTAAACATTTATGAGTTTTTAGATATATTTTGAAAATATAATGACTGGTTAATACAAAACCAAAATGGACTAAAAGTTGTAATTGGGAAAAAGAATTCTATTTGAGAGAAAATAATATTTAAAATTTCCTGGGAGAAAATGATAGCTCTCCTTTTTCTTTTCTGTTTTAGGATTTTCATTTGTTTTGTTGCAGACTATTTCATAAGCATCTTGAAAACTACATTTTAGAGCCCAGATACTACCCTTACTGCGGATTGACGCCATGAAACTGGGTATGTGATGCTAGTGGTTTAATTAATTTGGTTTTGGCTTTATCACAAATCCACTTTTAGGTATTGAACACTTAAAGAGAAAGAATAGCAGAGGGGTCAAAAAAAAGGGACTGAAAATCAGGATAAGTTTTACCATTGTTTTAACCAACTACTTCCTTTTTCCCTCTTTAAGTGAATTCATTGCTCAGGCCTGGGACCTGTTTGTTTGGTCAGTTGTTGTTTTTTTTTTCTTTTTTGGTTAATGTGCTGAGGCTCTGGAATTCTATTTTCCAGATGCCTGTGTCCCACGGAGGGGAGGAAAACTGAGCCATGAAGTTCCTATTTGCATAAAACGCAGAAACATCTGTCACAAGCTTCTTCTTGGTTGAGTTTGGCATCAGGGGAATTGTGCAGTCGATCATCTGCCCTTAACATCAGGTTCTTGTGGAGTCAATGAGAGCCACCAGTGAAGGTGTCCAGGGGCACGAGGATCATTTGCTTGGTTCACAATAGGCATATTTACAATTATATCCTTAACAGGATGATTATATAACAGGCCCTGTCATACACAAAAATTAGCTTAGGCAGAGCAGGAGCACTGTTCTAATTGACACCACTTCTTGGCAAATATGTTTCTTATGAAGGTAATGACAATTTAATCAAACTCATACTTGTATATTTGTCAGGAGCACAAAGGAGAAATGTTTTGTCCAGGGGGACACAGGCATAAGACTTCATTTGGATAGAATTTGGGTTTGGGTCTAACTTTAGAGCCTTGAGATGGGACTATTGTTAAGACCACATCACACACTCAGAAAGCCAAATTGCCTCTGCTGCTGGAGAAGGTTTTTCATTCTACACAATGCAAATGAACTTTAAAAAGATATATAATTAATGCTTTAAAAATGTTTATTTGTCATTTTCTTCACCATGTTAATTTCCTCAAGCCATTCAATTGTACAGTTATAAATTTCAAGCCCTGTGACCAGAATTGTCTAAAAACTTAGCTGGACAGATACATCAACATAGATAAATACATACATTCAAAATGCACAAAGATATATCAGATTGCTTATAGCTATGTTATTTAAAAGGAACATAATCATTTTGGCTGAAATATTACCTTCAAGACCAAAGCAATGACTTCTAGTGATTTTTGAGACACTAGTTTCCAAAATAGAACCATATCTTACCATTTGCTCTAGTCTTACTATTCATTAAATACTCGGTAATAAGTATGATTGAATCGGCTGATTTTTAAAATTACTACCTATTTGTTGTCACCTATTTGATTCCTAGAGATATCTTTCATCTAATCTTGCTCCTTCAGTCTTTGAAAGTAAATTGCACCCAAAAAAAAAATAGACTTGGTAGCCATTTAACAAATTCAGATGTTTAAATACTAACTGTTCTTTTTCTAGCAGACTAGCATAATTGGACCAAAAGTTTCTGTGACGCTGGTCTCAGAACAAGCAGTAATAAGATAGCAGACTTCTTTCAAACTTTTCTGATTCATAAATAATATAGTAGTTTACTAACAGGAAGTTTGTGGGAAGCAACAGTACACAGTCTAGCAATCCATCTGTTATTAGAGAACCCAGAAAAGCTGAATCAGGATCTTAGATGTTTATGATATCAGAGATGCTCATGGAATGTTATTAAAATCATTATTAACAAAAATGGAGTGTTTTACATGTTTAAAGTAAATCCAGACAATTCTAAATTTTATTCAGCTACATGCACGTGGCAGAAGGGACAACATCATTTGCAATCAAATAAAAATTTTAAAAGGCACTGGATTTTAAAAGGATAGTTATTCAATGTTCATGCTGAAATGGAGACGCATTTCTTACCTACTATTAAGTTACTGAACAATTCAAAAAGATCATAATCAGGCTAGTTTAAAATAGCTACTAGTTTCAGCAGTACATCCTTATAGTTTAAAATCAAAAGAAAGCATTTTGTTACTATGGCTAATGCATGCTATCTGTGATGCAATTTCTGCCTTTGATACCTATAGTTAGAACAGTCAAAGTTTCAATGCCTTCCCCACACCTTCTGAGTGGCTAAAATCAGAGCCTTTCTTAAGAACGTACGTTTGGGCGTTTTGGTTTTGTGCTGCTGTTATTCTTATAGGTAATCTTCCAAAGTCTGACTGCAGCTTGAGAGCAGCTTAATTAAGATAAAATACTGGAAAGGACAGGTGATGGCCAAGTGAGGGTTATTACCTAAGAATCATAATACTGAGACCTCTTTTGTTTCAGATTTTCCCTGGATGAGACCAGGTTATTTTTCCTTTTATGAGTATTTGTACAAGGCATTATAATAGTTCATTCTGTTGTAACAAGGTGCACAATCCCAGCCAAGCCTGTCTTCCAAGCCAGCCAAAGGACAGGCTTCAAGCCCTCTGAAACAATGGCAACCTAACAATTCCTAAACATTTCAAATGTAGCTGCAGTTCATACTTACTTTGAAATATGATGATCTGAGACATTCTATCATAAGACCCATAATCAACTAGAAATATACCCTGACCCTTATGTAAAAATCAACTCTGCCTAACCTAACTTAAAAGAGGGATCTAAAATGTTTGGGTATCTATGCCGGCATTAAGGTAAATAGGTTACAATTTGGAGACAAAATATCTGATCCCTATTCATCTCAGGTTTCATTTTTGCTTAGGAGTATTTTCATTGACTCTTCACTGCAAGCATGTACAGGGGTATGTGGGGGGTAGGGGGGAAGTCTCTACATAATCATGCCTTTGATCCATTCAGGAGTGTGGAGAGGTCCTCTTATGATGCCTGGCTGGGTCCAGCATTTCTGCCCTCACTATTCCCCCAAACTCAAGGCTAGGTTAGCCTTTTCTGCTAGCATTTACAATAGTGCCATCTTCTGGCTTTCTGAATGAGGTAACTTCTATAGTCATTAACTTCTGTCAAACCACTGGAAAGTCCATTATTTAAAGGATTGTTATAAGGTTCTGACCCAGGATCCCACTTATCTTTTGTGGGGGGGTGGGGAGGTGTGGAAGTAAGTATGAGACTACAAGGTAGTGGGTAATGCTAATCATCAGTCTTCCCCTACCTGTATGCCTCCAGAGTAGGGGACTCACTTTGGAAGAGACCTTTGAGATCACTTAGTCTAACTCCTAGATTTTTATATGGGGTGATTTCTTCATCTCTGTGGACAAAGAATCCTAGAATCATAGGTTTGGAAAGGACTTTAGACTGCCTAGGTTTTACAATGAATAGTGTCTAATCTGCCATCAGTAAGATCCAAGTTCAAATTTTGCCTTCAACACTCAATTGCTGTGTAACCCTGGTCAACGCACGTGATGTTTCTAAACTTCAGTTTCCTCAGTTGTAAAATGGGGACTCTCTCACAGGATGGTTGTGAGGATCATACAAGATGACACAGGTAAAGTGCTTTCCAAACTTCATAGTTCTATATAAATGCTACCAATTGTTATTATTATCAGGTCCCTTTTCACCACAGAAATGTATTCTTCACCATCCCTGACAAGAACTTATCCAGAATCTGCTTGAACACACCAAAAGTTCACTGCCTCAGGAGACTGCCCATAGTCTCAGCACATCTCTCTAATAGTTGGAAGAAAACTCTCCTAATCTCCCTTAATTATCTTAAACTGATTCTCTCTCTCTCTCTCTCTCTCTCTCTCTCTCTCTCTCTCTCTCTCTCTCTCTCTCTCTCTCTCGGTGTGTCTATCTGTCTCTTTCTCTGTCTCTGTCACTCTGTCTCTCCATCTCTTTCTGTCTCTTTCTCTCTCTGTCTCTGTGTCTCTGTCTGTCTCTGTATCTTTCCCTCTCTCTCCATTTTTTCTCTCTCTGTGACTCTGTCTCTCCTAGTGTGATTCTGTCTTTCCTAGTGTCTCTCTTCCTCCATCCTCTCTCTCTCTTTCCTGGAAAAGGTCTCTTTCATTTCTCCTTTCCTTTGCTTTTGATCTTCATACTTTAATCTTAGGCTTCACCTTTTTTATTGTGCTAGGTTTATATTCTGAATGTTTCTTGTACTGCTTGGTCTTTTCCCCACTAAGTTTAATTTCATTCCTGTGATACTTGTGCTTCTTCCTCCATCCCCAATTTCTTATTCTAGTTTCCTTTGTTTGATTTCATCCTTTATTTTTTTTATTCTGTTGTCTCTTTTTCTTGAGGTTCATTTTTTTTCAACTAACTCTTCTCAATGTTCCTCATTTCAGTTGTCATTATATTTTCCTGAAATTGACCTAACTCTCCTGATTAGTATAATTTATGTGAATGTCCCCTTTCTCCTTCAAAATTTCTCTAGAAATAAAACAATAATGGCTACAAGCAAATACAGGAAAGGCTAAATCTTTTAATGACATTCAGCAACAGATAAATATCCAAAATAGCAATGGCTCTTTCAAGCTTTCAATATGTATTTCATAGCAATACAGTTAAACACCAAATGATGTAATGTAGGAGAAATGGTACCAAATGGTAGTATACAAGAAAACTACTTTGCCCTTGCTGTCGTTTCTAACAATCATCATGGTAGGAGTAGTGCAGGGAATATGAAGCATTCAATAAATACTGGAGAAATGGGTGGTTGAATGTGTTTTAAAGAGGCAAAGCCAGATTGCCAACTATTCAGGTTGGAACCCAGACACAGCATGATGTGGCAAGTGCACGAAATAAAGACACTTTGTCAAGATGAGCTCATGCAACATAGAAAATTTCAAACAAAAATGCAAAGAGGGTATTAGAGCTTTCCTTCTTTTGAGAACAAGTTTTGTTTGTTTATTTGTCTTAATAACAGCACGCAGCAAATATTTGAAAGGAGGCTATATAGGTAATGGCAGAGGAAGTAGAAAACAAAAAGACAAGGAAAAGTGAGCTGGCAAGTAGGGTGGGGTGAAATGTCATGAGGGGGGAGGCTTGGGGGAACTTAAGCTGAGGGGAATGATGTATGCATAGGTAGAAGCCAGTAAGGGCTAAAGCATGAACTCAGGTGATAGAATTATTTGAGCATGAGAGAGGATGAAAATTTTGGTCTAAAGGAAATTAATTGAAATAATTATCTTTCTTCAGGTTTCCTGAATCACCAGACAAGCCAACAAGGTTAATGAATCTTTCCTGAACCCGAAGGGTGGCAAAATAAGGGCAAAATAAAAAACAGTGGACCAGAGTACTCATGTTGGCAAAGGAATTAGGCAATAAGCTAGAAAACTTGACATACATCCTATACGACTTCACCCTAAACTCTGGCTATCTTGTATTTCTTGTTATTTCTACTCATCTCATAAGATATAAACTCCACAAGGACTAGAGACATCTTTTTAGTTTCTTTGAGATCCTCTACAGTGTTAGATACGTAATAACTATAGATCCTTAATAAATACTTGTTTAGTAAATCATGAATGAAAACAAAAATACAGTTTCCCTCTCTCATTCTGATGATGAGCATTTATTTTATAAGCATAGATTCTTATTCTCATCACCCTAAGAGGATATTCAGAAATTAAATCCTCCAAATGCCTTTTTAAATTTTATTATGCCATCTAAGTGATGAAAAGAAGAAAGGAAGAGAGGGATAGGTGGAAGAAATGAAAGGGAAGAGAGGAGGGTGAAGGAGGAGAAGAAAGAGGAAAGGGGGTAGGAAGCAGACACATAGAAAGACAGATAGAGGAGTTTGAATTTAAGGAAAGGATGACCCAGCATGGAAGAAAAGGGTTTCTGTTTTTTTTTTAAGTCTAATTGATTTCCCCACCCAGTTGAAAGAAAGCATTGACTGTGATATGAAAACACAAACAGATAATCTATCAGATGATTTAAAAAGATGGTCTTAGTTCTCAAACAGGGAAACCTCACAGAGAACAGAGGGGTAGCTCCAATCAAACTGAACAAAAGGGATACCTGGATGTGAGAGACAATAGAGCATGCTGGATAAAGCATTGGATTCAGGTGTGAACATCACCTTTGAAGCCTATGTGACCAAGTTATGTGACCAAGCACAAGTCACTTATGCATGTTCCTTAAGCCTCAGTTTCCTCATATGTAAAATGAGGGGGTAGGACTTGATGGCTTCTAAGGTCAGCTCTAAATTTATGATCCTCTAATTCATGTGTGACATCCCACAGGACCTCTCAGCTAGGTCAAGTTGAGTGAAGCCTATGTGCCTGATGTTGACAGTCCAACCCAGCCATACACAAACCTGTCACAGGAGTTCTGAATTTCCATTATTTCCTGACTGGATGTAGTCATGATCCTTGATTCTTTGGCAGTCAGATAACAATAAATATTTCTAGAAGAAACAGAAATATACCATAAATAGGGTTCCTTCCTTTCAAATTTCTATGTTGCTCTTCTCAAAATGGGATGTTATCCCACAGTAAGTTACTCTAAAAACAAAAAAAGAGAGAGAGAGAGACCATCCCAATAGCAGTGACTGATGAAAAATAGTTCCCAAGACATGAAGGAAAATGTGGATACTCCATTTGCTGACAACTAGGAACTAAATTCATTTCTTATGAAGTGGCTAATTTTTAAAGGACAAAAAAAAAAACTTGAGAACTACTGTTCAATATGCCTTATGGTAAAGATCAGAAGACTTTAAGTGGTAGGATTTTAGAACTATATGACCATACATGATATGTAAATTGGATCCTATCTTCCTGATTACCAGATTCTTTATTTTCAATAAAATTACTTCAAAAGAATTGATCCTTCTCTACACTCTTTTCACTTGCTTTTATATTTTTATTTCACCAGTTGACAGTTGGGCCAATAAATAAAATATTAAAGATTAAAGGATCTGAGGGGAGAGGAATTTTTAGTAGTTGTGTGTAACCTATTAGTTCAACATTTCAGCCATATCTGTCTCAGAACAGATGAAAACATATACCCAGTCAAAAGAAAACTTCATTCATTTAGCAAATATATACTGATCACCCACTCCAATATAATCAATAACCACACTAAGAAGGGTCATTTTAAAATAAAAACCATTCTGACCCAAACATGTTATACTCCTAACAAAACAGAAATCAATTCAAGTGGTTACCTGGATAAAAATAAAATAAAATAAAAAGCACTAGTTCCTGAAGTACTTATCTACATCCAAAGCAAAATAATGTGCCTTTCCGTGAAATCTTGGGTTTTCTTTTCCTCCAAAAGGCTAAGCCATTAATTGGCCCTCATATTTCTCTGATGCATGGTTGTTGTTTAACAAAAAAGTTTATCTTAAAGATAGTCTGGCACCAAAACTCATTTAAAATGCTGTCTAGACCAAGTGGGTAAAAAGTATGCCAACTTACTACATGTTCTTGATGCCTTTTCTGCCTTTATTTCATTAGTGGGTAAGTGCCACAAACTAAAAATTCATGATATTCCTGGAATAGGGTTTGGACGTGAAAATACTACTTGTATATTGAAAGATTAGTTATATCTAAATCCCCTCTACATGTCACATCTCTGGAAAGTCACTTGACATGAATCAGTCTGAGAATTAAAACAAGCAGGTGCACAATATAGTATCCAGAATAAAATAAACATGGCTGCATTTTTGAGTGCCAGTTTAGTTTGTCCATTAAATCTCCAGACGCTACTGGAGTTGTCTACTCATGTTTGCATAGAGGCTTGGTGCCCTCTGGTGTCTACTGTTGTGTATTACAGCGCTTCGGATGGTTTTGTTCGGTTGCTGTTTTTCTTAATCCATATCTCATGCATTATATTTAAAGCGTTCATTCAGATCCTGAATACCATAAAAGATCTTACTAGAAACCAGACTGACTTTTTTTTTTACTCGAGTGATCTTGGTTAAGCACCAAACCAACTCTCCTAAACACCAAGCATTTCAATGCTTAGTTTAAGGGATCCATTCTCCTCATCTATTCCTGTACCAATGTGAATTAGAGACCCTCCATTCATCCCCACACTGTTTTTCTTTTGTTTAACATCTTTCAGTAACCCCTCCAATAAGGGTACATTTAACAAACCATGCCCCAGAAGTCTTCTATTTTTTCCCCATATTTCATGGCTAGCAGTGCAGCATTCAGACTGTCCATCTGTTTAAATGTTGTCGTTCAGTCATTTCAGTCATGTCTGACTCTTCATGACCCCATTTGGGGTTTTCTTGGCAGAGTTACTGGAGTGGTTGCCATTTCTTTCTCCAGCTCATTTTACAGATGAGGAAACTGAGAGAAACCGAGTCAAATGATTTGCCCAGGGTCACATACTAAGGTAAGAGCTTAAAGCCAGATTTGAACTGAGGACGATAAGTCTTCCTGATTCCAGGCCTGGCACTCTATCCAGTGTACCACCTAGCTGTCTCTGTGGTTAAATATCACATTACATAATAAAATTTCAAACTCTGAAAAAAACTTGCTTTTTTCACATTTCACTGAGTAAATTGATGCTGTTTTTCTATTAGGACAGGGGTTCAGAACCAGGGCTGAATTAACTTCTTTTTAATTTTTCCTTTAATAACAGTATTTTAATATATTTGGTTTCCTTTGTAATCCTACATGTTTTATTTTATACATTTAAAAACATGATTCTGAGAAAGGATCTGCAGGATTCATGAGATTGCCCAAGGGGTCCATGTCACAAAAAAAAAAGGTTAAGAACCCCTGTTTTACGATTGAGTAAGTGAAGGCTTCATAGGATCATAAGATCTGGAGATAGAAGGGCCACCAAGGACATCTATTCCAACCCCCTCATATTATAGATGAGAAATATGAGGCTCAGGGTGGTTAAGGGACTCACTTAAGGTCCCACAGGAAGTAAGCTTCAGAGAAGGGATTTTGAACCCCTGTCTTCTGATTCCAGTGCCGGAACTGCCCTCACAACTTTACACTCAAGTTTTACACAAACCCCAACTACAGCACGTCCTCATGCTCCACATCCATTCTCTAAGCATTTAGTAAATATAAATGTGTTTAAACTGAATCGAACATGGTATTTAAATAAATAATATTGGCCATTGGACCCCCTCCCAAATACTACTTTCATTCATTTTTTTTTTTGTTTTTAAAGTATCTTCCTTCCCATGACTCTTAAGAAAACACTTGATAATGACTCTTTCAAACCAAAGTTTCCACAGAACATATAAGAGGGGAAAAACTTTGTTTTTGCAACATTTATATCACCAATCATCATTCACATTACCTTAGTGCTTTATAATGTACAAACTACTTTACTTACAATGCCCCCTACTAGGTAGGTTGTGCAGATAGTATCCTCACTTTTCAGGTGAGGGGGCTGATGCTGGATGCTTCACTCGATGATCCACAGAGCCATCCGAGAAACCAGGTCTTTTGACTCCATGGCCATGATTTGTTCTACCTAAGTACAATGCCACAAGAATTTTTCCTAACTTCTTCAAGCCATTAAAGGCAAAATAAAATTACTGAATAAAATTTAAAGAATGTAGTATTCATTTTTTTCAAAAAAGGATGAAGTGTTAGCTGTAAAGACTACCTGATACCACACTGTATGTTTACCTTTTACTTTGACTTGCCACACCTATTGCTAAAACTATCACTCTTTTCCCACTGATGGATTAATATGACTGTCATTGACCAATGTTCATGTCAAGAACATGAATATATATATATGAGTGTATATATACATATATGAAAATTAACGTTACAATATAATAATAAACAGTTAAAATTAAATTACAAAAGTTCATGCTATGACATAATGCTTGTGTCACCAGTAAGTCAGGACAATGCAACAACTTTAGTACAACAGGGGTATGCTGGAGCCAGCTCCTATGGGTTCCAGAGAGTAGATTACACCTTGGAAATCTGCAAACACTACAAGTCATGCTGGATTTGTTGTTTTGTTAATTGTCCAGAATTAAGAAAGTGAAGTAGAACACATCAACAATACAGACTAAACTTTTAAAATGTGTTGTGCATAATTTTTTCACCTGGAGTGCCAACTGTTAAATGTTTACTAATAACCACTGGTTAAAATCTTAAGACATCACTCCCACTTATAAACCATAGCAGAGAAAGAAGGAAAACTCAGGCAAGAAACCTACACAATGACTACAGCAATGTGAATGGAAAGAACAACAAAAACCCCAAACTGAGCACTGTGTAATTATAACTAAACTTAGCCCCAGATAAAGGAGGAGAAAATGCAACTCCAGCTCTTATTTACATGGTTGGAGAACAACAGGAAAGGAAGATGACATACTCTGTCAGATGGGGATGATGCATTGTTAAGTTTTGC